GTCAGGAACGCCCGACGACAGCCAGCCTTAACCCATTGGATCCAAGTTTTACATTGCCCTCCATTTCGTCGCTTTCAAGCCACACCTGTGTTCGCTATTTGGGCTCGTCTTGGTAGCCGCTGGGTAGGGATGCGAGGCACATGGCCAAGCCAGCGAAGCATCCGCAGTGAGATGATGCTATCAATCGATCGGCGGAGTTCTTTAGGTCTGAAGACTCGCCGACGGATTTCCTCATTACTGATGTGGTGCTGCCATCGAACACCAGCAATGCTTCGCAGGCGGCGGTGATCGAAGACTGATAGCCACTGAACATCGCTTTTGCGAACGGGCCAAGTCTCACAGCTGTACAACAGAATCGCTCGTACCGTAGCATTGTAGACTCGTTCCTTGAGAGCGAGGCTGAGATCACGACGAAGCCACAGGTGACAAACGTTAACGAAAGAGACTCTAGCCTTGGAGACACGCAGAGAGATCTCATCTGTCAAACCGCCAATACTGACAACTCCCAAGCTAAATGAATTTGTTGACCACTTCCAGCGGATGCCCCGAAAGGGTGAGAGAGGGACATGCGCTCGCCCACTCCTGTAATAGGACCTTACATTTGGAAGGGGCAAAGCTCAACCCAAATTGGGCGGCGGACATCTCCAGTCTGAACAACACATGATGGACGGCTTGGGAGAACTCACAAATCACAGTGATGTCATCGGCGTACTTTAAGTCCCGAAGGCGGTCACCAGGGAGCAGTTCAACACCGCAGGACTCGGTGTTATCCAGGGCAGTATCCAGGATCTCGTCCATGGCGAAGTTGAACAAGAATGGAGAGGCTGGGCGACCCTGTCTAACACCGCTCTTGATACTGAAAGGGGCCGAAATGTCTCCGTATGCTCGCATGCGGCCCGAAGTTTGATGGTAAATTGCACGGAGAATGCTGATGTACTTTTCAGGTGCTCCCTTCTTCAGTAAGCAGTCCCTTTCACTGTACGGGATAATCCAGATCCACCCAGCTGGCACCACGAGGAGGTAGTTCGGCAAGCCAGCCGACATTTGTGAATTTTTATAGAGATAACGCTTACCAGGCGAAAACTCACCATGTCTTAGAACACTGCCGCCGAACTATTAAGTGGGCCGGGATTAAGCTGAACCACCCGGTTGGCACCACGTAGAGGTTGTTCGGCCAGTCATGCCGAATCTCTTCCAAAGTGGCAGGTGTGATATCACTTTTCCACTTCGGCTTACGTGATTCAGCAAACGGCAGTGTCGAAGCACGCCTGCTGAACTGATCTTCAAAGTGCCGAGACCAGCGGACTGGTCGACAAGGTTTAGAATGGATCAACTGTTTGTCCTTCTCAGTTATCGTCTCACTAGGTTTTCTTGGACCTGTCTTCCCGATGAGCTGGATAAGTTGCAGTCTGTTCCCCGTGGCATTGGCTTTCCCCATCTCATTATCCCCTTCGACCGCTAACGTTCCCGGTCCATTCGAAGGCTTTTTGTCTAACGTCGTTTCAGGGCGTTACGTACATGCTGAAACTCAGTGCCTATTAGAACCTGTTTTCGTTCTTTGATCATTTTGATCAATGCCTCAAAGAACCATTCATAGTAATCTTGTCTCCAATTTGTTGCAGATCAGGCGTCCAAAGCTTTCCTTTTGACACACCTGGAACGATTCTAGTCAGTTCTCGGTTCACCAACCTCATTCACTACTGACAATCAGTAGGTCACTTCATCATGATATCGTTAAACAGCGAACTGTGAGTTGAAGTCACACGTGAGAAGCTAAGAAGATACGCGCTTCTTTGAAGCCTGAAGAGTGAACACCAAACGTGCGTGCATTAGAACATGGTCAGGATGCATCTACGTCCTTCCAATTGACAGTCTTTGGCTGGTGTCCACGTCTATCGCGGTTGGCAATGTACTAAAACTGGGTTCAAGTCATGGAGGGATTCGGTGGGCTCCATGAACGCGATTCGGATGTTGGAAAGCAGCGCTGCTACTAAAAATTGTGGTCGGCACATGGTTGTATGAATCGTACGCCACTGTTTGTTCGGCGTGCGTCGACCCCGATGTGACCTCCCAGGTGTTATTAGTTCGAAAAGGCCATCTTGTCACCACCAACCATCACAACGTCCTTATTTTTGGCCGTACGGTGATTGGATGAGAGTTCAAGATATCAATTTTCTTACGTACCCTCCGAACTTCAGTCGGTGGGGGCATAAGCTTAATCGACGAAAAGGCACCTCATCCTCAGACGGTGCTCATTAAACCCAATAAATGTTCATAGTTGAACCGCACGCATGCGACTGTTCCCTGATCTTCACTCAAGTTATTTGCTTTCAGTATATTTGGTGAGGGCGCTATTAACGCCGTCAATAATTTTACCCATTAACTCAGTATCGCCAGACGCGATGAATGTAGTCTTTTCCGGGAAAGTGGGAGCCCAAAGAGTCGAAGATTCGTTTTGACCTTGAGCACGCACTTTCAGTCTATAGCATTAGAACTCAGCTCTGCTCCTGATTACGGTTCATCCTTATCACTCACGGTATCTATTATTAAGTGGCCTGTTGGTGGTTCGGTGTTGCTCCTCCCAACCCTGCGACCCCATGACCGGTTTCGTCCTCCTTTGGACTCATCAGATGGAGATACCCTGAGCTGGGGTGGACCTCAAGGTATAGTGTTCAAAGGTTGACGCCCTGACCACTGTGGCTCCTAGGTCCACGAGCAACGTTTGGCACAGCGGTAAAGTGTTCCAAGTGGCATTTGGTGTACTCGCTGTGTGTTTGGATTGCGACTCGCAATCTCTATTCAGACCTCGGTCCTAAGTGGACCTCGGTCATTACGATCACAGGGACCGTAACCAAATTGGTGGTCTGTGGCCTGTTGTTAACTAGCCAATGTGAAATCTGAGTGGACGGCTTATACACAACCTACCAAAACAACTAGTGCGTTAGCCTGAGCACTTTGGAGAGCTATTCAATCGGCCGAAACTACCAGATTCGCTTCCGTCCGGCGTTCACTTTGCTCCATGGGCCGTCTCTTTGGATACGCCCTCTCGCAATGGTCGAGCGTGAGATCAAACTGCTGAATTCGAATAGGACCGCGGGACCAAATGAACTCTCAACTTGAAGGGTCTTTCTATTGTGGGCGATTTACACGATTTGGTGAAATTTGAAACAGGAAACTGTTTCAATCGGCTGGAGCCATGCCGTTATGGTCCTGATCTTCGTTGGAAATTCACGTTTGGCTTACGGCAATCATAGAGGTATCATACTGGTCTCGGTCGTCTTTAAGTTACTTGTTTCTATCGTTCTTCACATAGTGACTCCATCGCGACAAGGCCGGACCTTTAACATAGTGCAATAGTTTGCTTGCCTCAACGATCCATTGAGCTATACTGGGTGGTGCTTTTTGCCCCTTCAGTTACACTCACACCAGATTTGTCAGTAGTTAGCGACCAGACTAACTCAGTCTTCTAGTCTTTTAGGTAGGATGTTGGAGTGAACTTGGAACCTTACTCCATCAAACTGACTCTGTAACCCAGCACCGGAATTTCGCTGCTTTGTGGTTGACAATCCTCCTTGTTTTCCTGTCTAAGCATGGGCACCCTGACAGTATAATTCCAAAGCAATACAAAATGACCTCTTCCAACAGTTTCTGGACGCTCCAGCCTTTGCAAATTATAATCAACGTGGTCCATATGCTTCACTGGGCAAGGCGCGTAGGGACGAGGATGCTACTGCTCTAGCCTCCCCGTCTACATATGCCCCCCCTATTGAGTGTGCTCATCCTTATAGTCGCGTCCCAACATCACTTCCATTCACTTATTTTCAACTTCTGAAATCTTGTCCCTCTTCCATATTGCTTTAATAGTCACTTGTCTTCTAGCTATGTATGTATGTATGTATTCTCAACAGTCTATTAGCTAGACATAGAGCCAGCATAAAACCATGGAGGTCAGGAGATAAGCAAGATTCATGGCGTCATAATCATCGTGGCATGCTAGTTGAAGGTGAGCAACACACTTCAACTAATATGCCGCAGGAAGAATGGAACATTGTGATAAAAAGTAGAACAAAACATTTTTAGTTTGTTTTTCACACGCCGCTTTTGTTCTTTTTTGTCATTTTAATGTTTGTAGTATTAAACATGTGAATCAATACAATATTGTACACAATTCTTCCATTGATTCCGGTTGCGGGCCATATCTTCAAGAGTGCTAAGCCATTGGCACTCCTCATCTTTGGGTCCCCATCCTGGAAGACGTACGGATCCTACAGCGGCTAGACACGACGTCAGCGATTTCATGTGCTGACGCCAAGTGGAAGGCTGACCACCACGCGGTCGCCTCCAGCCAGGTCCTTGACGAGCGAATAGAGCGCGACGCGCTAGACGCTCAGGTGCCATGCGTAGGACATGACCGAGCCATCTCAACTGGCGCAACAAAACCAGTTTGTTGAAGGGAATACTCGCATTCCCCAAGATGCGACGTCGAACCTCATTACTATTAACACGATGTTGCCACCAAACACGCGCGATCCTCCTTAAGCAACCGTTATCGAACGCAGAAAGACGACGCATGTCTTCCACGCGAATCGGCCAGGACTCGCACCCATACAACAATATTGAGCGAACTGATGCGCTGTAAACGCGGCCCTTTAGCGAGAATGAGACGTCGCGACGACGCCACAAGTGCCTCAAATTGATAAATGCTGATCGAGCTTTAGCGATACGAAGGGAAACTTCTTTGTTGATAGTGCCGTCAGCAGAAACACAGCTCCCAAGGTAGACGAAACTATCTACCTGTTCAAGTTGTGCACCTCCGAGAGTGAGTACGGGAGCAGGTGAAAGCCAATCCTTGAGCAGTATTTTACACTTCGATGGGGCGAAGCTCATGCCATACTTAGATGCTTCAACCGCCAAACGATCCAGAATGAGTTGCATACTCTGAGGATCGTCACCAAGTAAGGCGATATCATCAGCATAATCTAAGTCGGTCGCGCGCTCACCCGGTAGAAGCTCTAAGCCAAAATGTTGGAAACCTTCTAGAGCATTCGACAGAACGTCTTCGATTGCGAAGTTGAAGAGGAATGGGGACATCGGGCAGCCCTGTCGCACACCGCTATTGACAGCGAATTGCGAGGAAAGCTTGCCATAGACCCTCACTCTGCCGGATGTATGAAGGTAAAGTGCTCGTAGGATGGCGGTATATTTCTCTGGCACCCCGTTCTTTAGTAAGCAACGCCATAAAGCAGGTCGATCAACGGAGTCAAAAGCGGCACGTATGTCTAGAAATGCAATGATAGTGGGCCTGTGATAAATGTGGCGATGTTCAAGGAGCTGGCGGAGCGTGAAGATTTGATCCACGCATCCGCGGCCAGGACGGAAACCAGCTTGTTCTTCACGGTAGTATGATTCACGTACTGGGGATAGCCTGCGAAGCAGAATGGATGCCAATAGCTTAGAGGCAACCGAAATAAGACTAATCCCGCGATGATTTGCACATGAAGTGCGAGCGCCTTTCTTGAAAATCGGGACAATAACTGATTCTCCCCAAGAGGAAGGCACTTTCTCTTCATACCAAATTTTTGCGAACAGCGCGGTCAGCTGGTTAATGATCGCCACACCGCCGTACTTGAATAGTTCCGGAGGAAGTCCGTCTAAGCCGGCAGCCTTGAAGCGCTTCAAGCGTCGAATCTCAAGGCCGACTTCCGCCTCGCTGGGTGGATTCAGAGGGACGAGCCAGGGTGGACAACAACGTGTACTGCATGTACTGATGGACGGTGGAGGCCAGTTGAACTGCGAGTGAAAGTGCTCGGCCCAACGGTCCATACGCCTCTGTTGGTTGGTGATCGGAGACTCATCCACCTCACAAATGACCTCACTGACACCAGGTTTCCTGAGGCCAGTAGACCGAATGAGTTGGAAAAGCCTGCGAGTGTTGCCAGAGAGGGCAGCGGTCTCCATCTCTAAAGCACGTTCAGACCACCATGTCTCGCGATCCTTGCGTAGGCTTTGCTTGAGCAGCCGGTTGGCAGAACGGCGCCGCTCGTTGCAATCTGATTCCGCGGGTATATCTTTGCGGCGTTCGAACAGCTCCAGAGAACGAGTAGAGATCCAAGCCTTCAAGGGGCGTCGCGTTAGGCCGCAGCATGACTGTCCGGAAATGGTCATTGCCTTCCGTATACAAGTCCAGTGTTGTTCCACTTCTTGCGGTGGATTGCAACTGAGTGCATATGCCAATGAAGACTGATAGCTCGTCTGGACAGAGGAATCAGTTAATCTGTTTACATCAATCTTGCGGTGCTTCGTGTTTCGGAATCCTCCAAAACACATACAGATTTTCGCGCAGACCAGAGCATGATCTGAGTCAACGAAGGTGGACCAAAAGGACCTGCAGTCCAGTACGCTGCCGCGCCATCTGAAGCTAATTGCAATGTGATCAATTTGAGACCACGGTTGTGTTGAAGAAGGGGGACGCCACGTTGCGGAACGCTTCTTCGTACGCCTGAAGTTAGTGCTCGAGAGAAACAGACGGTTGTCTTCGCACAATGTGAGAAGTCTCTCTCCATTATCAGAGCGGTTCTCGTCGAGCGAGTTATGACCACCAAGGTGGCATTCGTATGGTGACAGGCGGCCAACCCGTGCATTAAAATCCCCAGCAAGGATAACGACATCCGACTTTTTAGCATTAGTCAAGAGCTGTTGTAGATCCCGGTAGAATTCGTCCTTGACCGAGTCGCCACTGCAGTCAGTTGGAGCGTACACGGAGATCACAAACAAGTTGTGTCTCTCTTCGCGGTGCCTGTTGATTCTACACGAACCCCGAAGCCGAACTGCACATAGTCGGCTGTTAATCGGGAACCAGTCCAGTAGTGCCGCCTCGGCCTTGTCACTTAGTGCTATACCTACACCAGCCAGACCCGCTGAGGCTGCTTCTGGATCTCCAGAAAGCCGCAGGTGATATCTGGCTTCGTGATCAGTGGGGGATGTTAGTGTAAGCACAGTGCTGGGATCTTGCAATCGGGTTTCTGAAAGGCAGCAGACGTCAATGTCTAGGGAATCTAGGGTTCGCGCTAGACCGGCTTGCTGTCCAATCTGCATGAGTGTCCGAACGTTGAAGCACGCCAGACGGAACGAGGATCGGGGACGAAGAAGAGCCATAGGTTGAACTTCTTGGTCTGCGGCGCAACCGGAATCGCAGCCAGATTGTTGAGCACATGAATCGGGTAACGGAAAGTGAGGATTGTTAACAAACAAACAATTGGCGTGTGATGAAGTCGCGTGAAAGTGACTAGCAGAAACAGCAGCTGATGAGCAAGTTGTAATACAGTCCATGGTTTTGCGAGAGGGCGTGATACTACCCGGTTGCCCAAGCCGAAGTAGGGAGTTGACTTAGGGGACTCCACCCCGAGCCTTTGGCTAAATAACCTACCCGCAAGGCAGCGGGGCGAATTTAGGGAATCGCGCCCATTGGGAGGCGCTGACTGGATGTTCAGTTCATGCGTCTTTGTTTGGTAGATCACCAAACAGGGGCCCAATACTCCCCATGAAATCAGCACAATTGCTGGAATACAATGTCCCACCGAGGTGAAACATTGTCGCCGAACACTTTGCTGGAACGGGGTACACCCGAACCACCCAGCTGGCACCACGAGGAGGTAGTTCGGCAAGCCAGCTGTGGCAGAGGATACCGCTCCGGTCACCTCGACTAGTCCATGTTCGACCAAGCGGACTTCAGTTCAACCGTTTATACTTGGATCCCTCGATCCACGCTAAGACGGGCGCGCCTCAACTTTTGCACTTTGTTACGGACTGCCCAACAGGCAGCTGTTCTGGTCGATTGGCTCAACAGCAGGATGTGCACAGTCAGATCAGCCAGCTCGATCAAAGCTTTTAAGACGGGTGGGGACAAATAGTGCCTGTTTGTCATTGTGACATGCGCCTCCACAAGCTGCAGTGCTGACTCCACGGAAATGACTATCACTCGCTGAACGAGCTTCTTTGTCGCAGCAGATACTGGCTGGTTATCTGAAAGTCGAAGTTGGAAACGGTCCACTGATGAGTTTCATCTGGGTGTGCAACACGATGTGAACTGCCATGATGACAACGGTGAGCGGTTGCTACACATGTGTGAAGATGCTCGTCTATTACTCGCGAGCGCTAACTTCTGACAACACCAGCAGGAGAGTGACATGACGCCTACCTGCTATGGACGTAAATCAATCACATCACGATAAGCTACCGTTGGAGGGGCTGTGCCCAAACGAACATGAACTTCGACCATGCACTTGTATGTGCTGACCTGCCGGTGCGTTTTTGCGGATGTCTGCAACGACACTGTGAACGCATAGATACTTTCCAGCTGGCGAAGTCGGATGTTCCTATTGCGTGTCTAAGTACGCTTGCATGCGGTTTGATTAATCGCTCACTGATCACTAATCGCTTATCCGTCAGATGTTAATGGTAGCAGCATGTCTTCATGCGGAAAATCAAATCGTCAGCCGGGATATTTGGTCTCCGCAATCTGTAGAACTACTAGATGCTCACTGACACATTCTGTCTGGGAGCGTAGACTATGAGACTCGTAACTACTTCAGTACAATGCTGGTTGCTAGCCTGAAGAACGATCATATCATGCATTGTAAATGGAGACAGCTGCTGTCCTTGGTAGTTATTGTTAATTTTTCCGTCTGGTACTGGAAACGAGCAACAGGAGACATGCTGTTTCGAGATCAAACACAACACGAGTGGACAGCTAATCCACATCGTGTCAAGACGCATAGAGCGTTGGGCCGAACATTAAATAAAGTAAGTTTGGTCAGCGCGGTTTACCAACTTCCTTATCGGTCATTGATCGCCCTTCTCCCTGGGCTGCTCCTTGGATGCGCTTTCGCACAGACATCGAACATGAGCTCAGACTACTGAGCACATCCAGTAATGGCAACTGGTCACTGTTCTCTTCCACTTTGGTGAAATGTATGCCGGAAAAATATTAAGTAGCTAATGTGTTTCTCCTAGTCTCGAGCGTTTGACGATGACAAAAGTATCGTCTAAGTAACGTACCCAAAGTTTGGGCTTCACTATTGGCAATGACTTTTGTTCCAAGGCTTGCATCACTGCCTCTGCTACCAGTCCGAAGATAGGCGACCCCATTGGCGTGCCCGTTAACTGTTTGTACATTTAGCAATTGAAAGTGCTCGTGAGAAGACATGCTTCTGGGTCACTGGAAACAACAGTTTATCGGAAAGCGACGCACTATCGCAGTAACTATGCGACCATTTACAAGTGAAGTTGCACTAGGACGCTTTTCAAACGGGCTCAGGCACACTGTAACACGCCGCAACTGAGAAAGGCGAAGAAGAACCACCTATTTAGCATGTTTCAGTAAAATTCGTACCCTAGCAGCTTTATTCTACGCTTCGAAGAGCCAGTCACAACCCGCGTCCACATGTGCAACAGAAAGAAGAACTATTATCCTACCTTACATCCATGGGATTTCTGAAATGGCAGCGAGGCTTCTAATGCCTCACGGGGTAAATGTTATACACAAAGCAACGGGAAGTATTCGAATTAAACTTTTCAAGGTACAAAACAAACTGACTAAGAAAGAAACATCAGGTGTAGTTTACAAACTTTCCTGAAAGAACTGCGAGAAGTACTATGTAGGCCAGACTGGAAGAAAACTTGGTCCAAGGCTACACGAACATATTCTGGTCATCGGGCGCCATGATGAGAAATCCTTCATGTCAGTACACATGGATGCCGAGGACCATCACTTCAATCTGGATCACGTTGAACTACTTGGAAGAGCACGAAACCGAAAAGCGCGTGAGTTCCTCGAGACCTGGCCTTTTGGCCGGAACTCAATCAACAAACATCTGGAGCTGGAGGGTGTCTACGAAGCTCTGCAGGTTAAGCCATCAATAGGCACCAGATCGACAAGCAGAAGACGTGATCACTCGGCCGACTCACGTGAACCAATCAGAGGCTGACATTCGAAGCAGGTAACTATCAATAGTTATTCGGATCTGACAGTGGTTTGCGAGACTCCGCGAATCAGGACTGAATAGACGCACTGAAGATGTTGCCTAGTTTGGTAACGAAACGTCTGCAACGGAAATGCCCGGCTCGGAGAACAGGACAATCCTCTCATCCCCTCCCCAAGCTACAGGTATTCTCATTAATTTCTTAATAATTCGGGTCCGATGCACGGTAACTCGTTCGCCGATGGGAGGCCTTTGCTAGCCGGCAATCCTCCACTCACGGGCAACTCTATTTTCCACTCGAATGTTTGGGAAGACGTGTCTACCACCAAGTGTGCACTGCCCTCCAGCCATCAACAATCCATTAGCCTGGAAGATCACCGAACAACTTGGACGACGAATGCTACGTTTGCTGATCGCGGATGCACAAAGCCGATGGCAAAAGTGTCAACGTGGAATCAACCAACAGAAGGTCATATGCTTGTTCAACCTCGGAGAACAGTTAGCCAGAGAGCTTGACTAAGCGATTACCATTAGTATCCATAAGACCAAACTCTAAACGAAGCAGAAACTACGAAGGAAGTTGGGCAGAATCTCACAACACAAACCAGCAAACGAAGAAGTCGCGTGGATTAAGTATCTATCCAAACGAACCGTACCAGATACAGAAAGATCAGTTATTGTGCGAGGTTTGCAAGTCAATTACAAAGATTCCAATCCTATTGATTTCCTGGTAGCACTTGAATCAACGTTTACGACATCAGACATCGCAGCTGAAGCCCAACACGCAATTAGACACAGCATCATCGCTCTGAGTCACAAGGTGGAAACCAACATATTCAGTGTAAGCGAACGAAAGGCACTGACAAACCGGCTGACAAGGGACGTCTTACTATCATAGTGGACAAAATTGACTACCTGAAGGAAGCGCAAGAACTGCTCGGAGATGTGAACACCTACCAGCCCATAAGTGAAGACCTTACGAAAAGTCTGGAAAGCAAGATCAACAAAACTCTTCAAAGACTGGAACAAATAGGACAGATGACGAAGTTTGAACACAGCAAGATGAAACCTGAGGATTCAGTGCTACCACGGTTCCACGGCCTACCCAAATACACAAAAATGGGTGCCGCTTCGCCCTATCGTATCATTACCCGGAGCAACGAGTTACAAGCTGTCTAAGCAGCTTTGGAAACGGTTGATACACCTAATCGTAAGCTCAGAGCACTCCAGTCGGCAGAACAATTCCTTGAAAAACTTAAGGGAAAGCCAATTGAAAGAGATGAGAATTTGGTCTCCTTTGACGTTGCAGCTTTGTTCATATCAATTGGCACGACGCTGGCGAGTCAAACAATCAGGACTCTGCTTGAACAACACGGAGCGATAAATACCAGCAACGGATACAAAACTGCTGCTTCTCACAAATAGTGAACAACCACCCGAATGTACAGTTACTACACTTGCCCACAGAACTGTTCATCCTCGCGTCCAAACCGTAAGAAGAGTCAGTAGCATATCATTTGGGACTGTATGTCCATACAAAATCTCGATACTTGTGGAGAAAGCCGGATAATCACTTATCTGTCAAATGTAAACGCTGTAGCTATCTTGAGATCAACTAGTGGATAAATGACCAGTTATTTGCTAGGTGCGCAACACAGAACATACATTGTGGGATCACGATCATGTAATATTGGACTCCAGTAAAACTATGTTAACTACTATGTGGTACCGAACCGGATCACCCTTTTCACTTAAACTTTAGCTGAACTGAACTATCTGCTCGTGGTGTCGGCTGAGTGCTTCTGGTTTATTCCTTTCGAGCGAAGTGTTCTGATGGCAGTGTTTTAAGTCGTGGTGGGCTTGGCAAGCATTTTGTTTCCAAAAATCCACATGCCTTTTTAACACTGTGACGTGGTGGATGTGACTTGCCATTAAATAAAATCACTGTCCTTTGCTTCACCTCGGTGGAGCATTGTACCCCAGCAAATGTGCTGACATCATGGAGAAGATTGGGACCCTATTTTGTATTCGACTAAATGAAAAGCGTATGAACTGAGCCATCGGTCATCGGCTCCCATTGGGCGCGATTTCCTGAATTCACTCCGCTGCCTTGCGGATAGGCTATTCAGCTTAAAGCTCGGGGTGTTATCGCTTAAGACAACTTCTTACCTCGGCTTTGGCAACCGGGTAGTATCTTGCCCGCTGATAACCATGGACCGTTCTGCTATGTCGCGCTTAACTACATCTCTTTCTGCTGCTGGCACGCCTTCGTATGTTACACATTCATTTGTTACCAATCATTTTTATTCGTTACTATCTGATTCCTGTTTCCACGATTCTACTCCCGATGGTTTCGTCTACGACCACAAACCTCGCCCAGTGGCCCTCCTTCAGCCTTGATTCTCGTTTCGTTTGACATAATTTAATGTAACTACCATCATGCAGATCGGGCAATTGGCTGGTTTCACGCTCACTTTGGAATCTCTCGCCATC